TCAACATTTCATGAGCAATACAAAATTCATGCAATTGAATTGTCGCACAATGAGTGCGTTGCATTATTTAAATCAAAAGTTAATAATTGGAACGTGTGTGTGTGTTTGTTTAATTGAAGGAAAACTATTTTGTTTGCCATGCTTTTCGACGTGACGTGGGAATGCAATATCAATTATTTAGTGGTAAACAAATTCGTTGCACAAGCTGCTGCCTAATTTCCACAAATTGAACAAATCTGGCACAAATATAATTGAATATTTTATGGCTGCAAAAGATATTTCACAGTGGAGATAATAAATCCCAGCTAACCCCCACTCGCAGTATCCAACTTTTACTTTTTCGAAAGAATTTGCCCCGGGCTGGAAGAGTGAATGAGGCGGAAGGGGGGAGGCACAAAGTGCTGCTAACTCATTTCACAATTTGCCAGTCTGAAATGGTTTTAATGTGAAAACTTTTGTGGCTACAATGTATCCTCCACACGGAAAGGTTTGAGTGCAACAAGCAGAGTGCTCCTCCTACTCCTCCTCCTTGTCGTGGCACCTGATCCTGAGCAGCATGATTTAGTTGCACAAAAGTTCGGCTTCAATTTCTGGCCGCTGTGCTGTGCTGTACGCCTGGCGGCAGGAGAATAAAACAGAGTCAGTGGGCCAAATGCAATCAAATATACAAAACAAACCAGAACAGAACAACAGTTTTGTAACAACCGAAAATGGGAAAAGGAGAGGCAAAGAGATTACATATGTACAAGTGCACATGTTTATGTGTCTAACGTTCCCAATATACATTCGATGTTATATGATTTGTACATAGTTTGGCTAAGCTTTAAAGTGGGATAAATGTAAACATCTTTACATACATGCACAAACATATGTAGAGAAGTGCAGATGTAAACAAAGATGCATAGCATTAAGCAGAAATATCAATAAGCACCGACTCTAGTACGCAGTAGATTATCCATTGTCCGTTCAATGCACACTTTGCTTAGAGCGAGCTTTGAGAGCGCGAGAGAGTCGTCTAAGCCGAGTGCATCTGAGAGGGAGAGGTAGATCAAAGAGGAATTGAAAGAGAGCAAATGGCTGACGCAGTGCAAGATGAATTTACTGTAAATTTACCTTGAGCTGGCACAAGAAGTTTTTTTTGCAAGTTGCCGAGAGAATAAATATAGAAGAACCGCGACTAACGGCGCTTGCAAAACTTCAAGCAGGAGAAGAGTACCGAGCGCTCAATTACAAATGTACATACATATGTATATGTACGTATGTACACATACTTCATTGAATTGCAAACGCTTTCTTCTTTGCAGCACAAACATCTGGTTAAAGTCATAATTCAATACAAAAGGGGCAACAAGGCGTAACTGTAGCAGTGGCAGTGCCTTCCCAGCAAGCAAAAGGAAAATAAATAAGCAAAGAGGAAGATGTATGTAACCGTAAAAGAACAAATAATTCTCGTGCTCGTACGCGTATATTGAATATGATTTGCGAACAGATGTGAACAGAGCTGAGATGCTATTCTCACTCAATCAATAATGCCAGCGCGGTCGTTGGGGGTAGGATTCTAAACGTAAGATTGTGGAAGCGAAGGCTTACCGTACGTGACTCCCTGTACGTCTTGGCAGCGTCAAAAAGTAAGCAGCAATATGAGAGGAGCAGCAAGAAGCAAGAAGTGAGCAGAAAGCAGAAAGCAGCGGCTGCCTTTGTCAATTCCGATTCCTATGGAAATCGAAAGCGGACCCACGGACTATGCAAATCTGTTGCTGCTGCTGCTGTGTCGCCTGATGTGGCACACACAATACATTTACATAAAAATGCACTTGATCTGTTTGATGGTGGGGTAGTGGGCGGTGGGTACGGGAACACATGTGTGTAAATATATCTGCTTACAGCTGTCAATGTGTTCGCACACGAGGTGCCAACTGCTTCGGTGTTTGCTCCCAGCTCATTTTTTGGCACTTGTCCTACATGGCAAGAAAGCTAATCGGCCTTCGGCATTGGGGTAATACTTTATGAAAGGAGAAAACCCATCAGAAATCGCACAGTTGTTGCATGAAACTTGAAGTTTTGGCACAGGTTTTGCCTTAAGCTGGCAAGCATTTCCGTAATTGGCTCACTTCCGGCTGTGTTTCACAATTCCTCAATCCCTATGCTATGCTATGCCGTTGCTGGCAGACACTTCTGTGTAGAGGACTAATTAATTTCCCTGGCCTTGCCATAGGCACAGGCACGGGGACTAGGTACTGCAGCTACAGGTCAGTGGTGGAGTTCCATGCCCGGGGATTACACGGCTAGGTCCGGAACGCTTCACTGGCCGAGTGGGTCAGCAGGCAGAGGCTTTGCTCGAATCGTACTAATCCGCCCACCTGCATATAATTACTACTGAAATGTGTCCTAATTGAGCTCTACCACTGCTGGTCCTCAGCCACTTTAATTTGCTGCCATTTAGCCTTTGGGGAAAGGCGAACATCCGGGCACACTCAGGACATCAATAATAAATGAGATTCGACAAAAGTTGTAAACCTTTTTCGAGCACTTATCTGTCACACGTCACACGGCGCCAACATCATTTGTCAATTGTCATGGCTTAAGCTACACTTCGGCCCTCTCCTACCCTCTCCCCCTACTTTCCCCTTTGGCTCTTTGTTCAGACCCCCGCCCGCATGCAGAAGTTCTGTTTGCCAACATTTATTTCCTTTCCCTCTGTCACGCCCAATTGTTAAAAATGACAACTAATTAATTTGTGTCCAGCTCCCCCCAGCACCCCCCACTGTGACAGAGTTTCTGTCTCCTGACCACTACCAATCCTTCCCTGGTTGCCTTACTTCGATTTGCCCATAATTTTTGGGGTCAAATATCTTGGAGAGAGCCTTTGGCAGAGTGATTTGTCGGCTTAAGGGTTAATGAGTGGCCGACTGTGGGTTACAGCAGATTGATGTTTGCCAAATTACTCGAATTGTTGTAGAAATCTTCATTGAAGTCCCAGAGAGAGAGAGAGAGAGCGATGGGACACGAAATGTAGGTGTTAAGCCTGATGTGCAGTGCTCCCCCAACTGTAATTAGAGTCCCGAGCCAGCAAACTGCTTGGATTGCATTTAAGCAGCAAATTAGCCATGCTCTAAGCACTGCACAATCTCTCTCTCTCTCCCCCTCTGATTCATTCATTCGCATTCAAAGAGAGAGAGCCACGGCTCGCTCCACATCCTGTGACCACTTGCCGCAGCAGTTCCCATCCCAAGCAGCATCACAAATGACTTCATTAGGCAGCGCCGCTGCCATTCCCAGCCCGGAGAGTATATCTATTAGCTGAAAGATGCCCCGCAACCTACATTCCACATCCACTTAGCGCTGATAAGCAGCTGCTCAGCTCGGGGGCATGGGAGGAGCTTCAGAGCAGGTCTGGAGGAGCAGGAGCAGGAGTGATGAAAGCTCCCATGCTGCACACAATGCCATCATTAACAGGCTGAAGGCGATTTTTATTGTGTTTGGCTTAAGCTTAAGCTTAACTCTCCCCCCGCTCAGCCACTCTTACGCTCTTCCACTCTTCCACTCTTCCACTCTCTCGCTCTCCTACTCTCCTCTGTCCTCTTTGATGTCTTCTCTTTGAGCGCTCCTCTCATCAGTTGGCCTAATGATTTGCACTCTGGATGGGGCGGGGTAGGAGGTAGCTTAATGACAAAAAATGGCCAACTACTTTGCCGACTGCATTGGCTGCATTTACTGGCTGAAGAGCAAAACATGTGTTCCACCAACTTGGAGAGCGCTTCCTTTCCTCTCTTTGCACTGCTTACCCTTACTCTTTGCACTGCTTACCCTTCCTCTCTGACTCTCTCTAATGCTGCAATTTGTAGACCATTGGTTTCATTACAGCCTGTGGCTGTGGAGCACCGAAGGGCCATGGCCTCTTGCTGCTCGCCGCAGGAGGCTCCTTCCTGTCTTATGCAGCCCATCCATATACATATGTACGGATCCCGTAGTTGGCTGTGGGGACGGGTCGAAAAACTTTCGGCAGCTTGGCAGTTGGCGACATTTTTGGCTGCCAAAAAGTTTCCCAAAACTGTGTTCGTGGCGGCTGTGTGTGAGTGTGCCTCTGCTCTCCGTTCCGTTCCGTTCCGCTTTGGAGTGGAGTTCATTACGAATGCCGCGTGTTGACTTATGCATAATTACTGTTTTTCATGGCACCCAGACTGGGGAACTACCCGACAACTCGACTCTTTAGGCCAGAGCAGACTTGGCACAAGTTTTTTGGACCACGTTCTGCCCTGCTCCAGCCTGGCTGGTTCATATGCTCATTTGTGTGCATGACGCACTGACCTGTTTCTAATGCAACAAAAACGCTAAGCGCCTGCCAGGCACTCTCGGTGCAGTCAACTGTGTTCTTTTGCCTCAGGGAGCACCTACAGAGCCCACTCCTGCCCCAGCCGTAGCATACTTTTTGCACCGACTGCCTGGACTGGGCTGGGAGTTTATTTTACGCACGCCTTGACCAGACACAGAGTGGAGAGAGAGGGCGACGCAGGGAGCCACGGCTGCATCACTTCTTCCAGCAAGTTGAAAAGTCAAGCGGATAAACAAGAGATTAAAATGTCATAAACAATGCTTTTTGCTCTTTCTGCCACGGCCCCCAATCCGGCAAAAGCAACTTAATGAAAGTCGCTCGAGTGCCCAGAGTGCAGTCGAGGAAAAGTGTTTCCTTTGCTGCAGCAAAAACTATTTTCTACTTGAAAACTTTACGCTGCACCCATGTACGCCCCATCAAGCGGCGGCCTGGCATCACAACCCCCACAAGCCGCATGGAGCACGTTGAAACCCCGTCGATGGCAACTCAATAAATTTCCATTAAACTTTTGATTTGTATCTACGACTTTTTTTCCGGCCAAATGCAATTGAAATGGCCACGAAAAAATGGCATGCACAATATTCGAACGCCCAGCCAGCAGCCACAGTAATCTCTGCATCGAAAGAGCATCCCAGCATCGACCAGTGGGTGCAGGACACGCTTTCCATTTTTGTAACACAATTGAAAAAAAACTTTTATTTTCGCTGGGCCTGCGAACAGGAGGAGCGTCGTAGCACACACAAATGATAAACTATCATACAGAGGCATAAATTATGTTCACATTCTCGTATTTGCGCCGGAAACAAGTAACTATAAAACACTTGGCCAAATCCAAGTTTAGATTTACCGACTTGCGGCAATCACACACTCACACATATACAGGACAGGCACACACACATGGGGTAATGGAGGGGCTAAACTATAAACTGTAAATACTGTTTGCAAAGTCGTTGCAAGCAAAACTCTCTCTCGGGACAGACAATTTTCAACGACAAAGACCAGCCTCGCGATTGATGCTGAACGGTGACTGATCTTTGCAGGCGAAAATTATGTTTACGACATAAATTGCCATTACTAATTTCCTGATTATATGATTGTATGATTACGATATTAGGTATTGTAGTTCGCAAATATGTGTGGGACAGACTGAAGGAGGAAAAGGAATGAACTAAGAAATTGACAAAAACATTTTGCCAGTCGTTTACTCAGCGCCGGCATTGATCGTGATCGTCTTGCCCTTGGGATCGTCGAAGCGATCCATTGTGTTGATGTCCATCATCCAGCAGACGCCAATGAAAATAATAATCAGGAAGATGACAACCACAAACAGACCCATCAGAATGCCAGTGGAGACGAAGCCCACACAGTCCCAGGAGTCGCCGAAGACAAAGTTCTCCTTGTAGGTGCTGCTGAAGGGAGCCTGAATCTGCAGCGAATTGAAGCTCAGCGTGTTGTACCTATTATCAACGGCAGCCGTCTCCAGGGTGAGGTTGCCGCAGGCATACGAGAAGGTGGTGGGCGCATTGATGATGCCCGTGCTGCGGAATTTCTGTCCGGCGTAGGCCACGTTGGTCAGGCTAAAGTAGCCGCCATCGCCATAAAGAACATCGAACGTGAGTGACTTGGTGGGATCGGCAGTGGCCAGGGTAACGGAGAACTTAGTAGCGGGAGTAGTTCCGTTGCTGATGGTGAGCGAGTTGACCGAGAAGGGCACACCGTTGTACTGGACGCTGGTGTAGAACATGCGAAACTGGTTGCCAGACACCCACATGATGCCGCCGGTGGTGGCGGCCGTGTCACGGCGCGTGCGACGCTGCACCACGGGAGCGGTGGACGGAGCGGCCAGATACAGATAAGCCACCTTGCAGTCAAACTGCTTGCTGATAGCGGCAATGGCAGAGTCTGTCGAAGAGCATGAACGAAATTAGCACGCACTCCCACACGCAGACTGTTTTGTGTACAAACCATGTGACTCCAGGGTGACCTCGCGCGTTTCTTCGTCATCCTCGAAGCTGACAAACAGAGCGGTGCCCACGGAGCACTTGGCCGGGCTGACGAGCCGACCGCTGGCATCGATGCTGTTGTGCTCCCGCTTGGCGGCCACCGAGCGCAGCGCCTCCGATGGATTCTCCACGCTGGTGTAGTAAGTCTTCGGGCTCACGCCTTGCAGCTTGGCGTAGCAGGAATGCGACTGGGAGTTGGCGCACAGGAAGTCCTTCGTGCTCAGCTGTAGTCACAGGAAAGTGCATAAGGAATTAAAGTTTATCTATCAGCAGCCACTTCACATGCAGCACTTACGCCATTTTCCTCGAAGGCCACAACCATGTGATCTTTCAGCAGCTCTGCCAACTGGTCAGCAAACTCCGCCTGGGGCACGGTCCTCAACGAGGGCTTCGCAACACTGCACAAAGAGAAAAGGGACTTGCTATTAACTCCTCTATATGCGAACCGGAATTAGTTGAACCCACCTGTTGGCACCCCATAGGAATACGGGCGTTTGCTCGGCCAAGGCTGCTCCAATGACGCACAATGCAATCAGCGATTTCCACAACATCTTGCTGGGACGACGCACTGTACGTGGGCGGAAACAATAAGGAAACAAACCAAGACATAATGTAAGAACAGAAAAGAAACCAAAAAGTAAAAGAAAACCAACCGAAAAGTTAACTCAAACTACAACAGAAAAGACAGTGGAGAAAATTTTTTCGCTTTGCAGGGCCCGACTGAGAAAACTTATGACCAAATCATGTGATTGCCAGTGTGACCGCGTGAACTATCGATAACAGATATCGACAGACACTCGGAAAAATACCGAAATATACGTTCTCACTATTAAAAAGTATCGAAAATATACCAGGGAAATTCATATTCTTCAATTTTCATGTTCTATTACTAGCTTGCAAACACTTTTAGCACTGAAACAATAATTTAATCCGATTGAAAAATCAATTTGGCTTACTATTAATACTAATTTTAAGTGGATTGTATACCTTATGATCTTATATTTTACAAATTTGTACTTGAATTTTACATATGATGGTCAGGGAAATTCTCTCCTGTGTCTAAACAGTCAGGGAAATTCTCTCCTGCCGGAAGCTCTCCCGTGAGCACGAAAATACACCAAAAATAATATATGTTCACACTTATTCAATCATCTTCCTCAAATTTCATGTTCTATTTGACATTACCTGCTAGTTAAAAGTCTCAGAGCTAAAACGAAAATTTTACTCGAATTATCATTTGATTCTCTACAATATTGACTTTTTTCATGACTAAGCTTTATTGCATTGATTGCAAAAAAAAGGTTAAAACTAAAACGTAAACCAAATCAAATTACATTAAAAGTTTCGTGGATTCTTCTAACATGTAACTCATAGTTTCAGCGCCAGTTACAGCGAGACGAGTGCATACTGCTGCAGTAATGATTTGGCCAATTATCGTGAATCGGTTAATCGATTTGTGGAAGAGGGGACCACAACATAACAAACAATTTTGTGTGTTGGTTTTTTTAAAACACGCATTCTTCAGTGAAATGTGTACTGTAAACCTTCGAGGATGCGTCTGCATGATGGCGGAGTATGTGGATTGCATTACGCAACAATGCGGTAAGTACCTAATAAACAGCATAATACATTTTCAGCCCTCCATGCGGGCTGTCCCATTGATTTGATGATCATTTTGACATTATGAATTTTTACTGTTTTTAGCACTCCAATCAGGTGGTGCAAGCCGATGTCCGACTTATCGAGCGTCTGCGTCACGATGAGACCGCTGGCGGGTCTGCTACTTGGTTGAGTTAAATGGCACGCAAATGAGGGGCCACGCAGAACGACAGAAGCGTCAAATGAACTGTTTGGCAGCGTGTTGAGGTCGCTAACAGATGAACGATTCGCTTCAAGGATCCACATGGGCAAGAGATCCCAGATTTTGGAATCTATGCCATGATCGAATAGACAGCCAAAACAATGTCGAGTAGTACTGCTTCAATGTGCTTTTTGAAGTTTTCGAGAAGGAGAGCGGCATTTATTACAGGGAATGTGGGTATACAAGCGGGAAGAATTCATATAATTCATGGGTAATTAAGTGTGTCTTTCTTACTTTATGCATAGACTGCCAGCAATGTGAAGAAAGATCGCAACCTGCATCCCCTTGACACCAATGTCTAAGGCACCAGATTTTTCTGAACAAGTTACACGAGGATGCGCAAAGCAAGTCGCCGTATGGGCTCGAGATCCTACGCTGGGCCACGATTGGGCTGACTTCAACTTTGCCTGCTCCCAAATTAAAGCAGATATTGAGCCGGGCCCTTGTGTGAATATGTGAGCTCTAATGGATGGCTTGCTTGTATTCGTACCGGTGCGCTCATCTAGCGATGCTCTTAAAAGGTAAGGTGTATATTTAAACTTCCAACAACGCTCATTTTACCCGTACACGTTTTTTGTTTTTCAGATAATCGAAACCTTTTCGACATTATGGAGCTGATGTACGCGTCTGCTACAGCACAGTTCCACAATCGGAATCATATCACAAAAATGAGCTAACCATGTGGTAGTCCAGCTGGAGCTCGAAGACCGAGGATGGCTGACGGGTCGTTCTTCCGGGAAAACATGGCATTACCTTGTACTACCTGAGCGATTCCTTGAATAGGATTACATCTTATCCATCGAAATAACCGACATCCAATCTCAAATTGAGGCCGAGTCGGATTGAAACGTAGGAAGATTAGTGTTCCAGCGTTGTATACCAATAAAATTGCAGCATGCTTTTGCTGCTTTTAAATATATTTTAAAATACTGAAGTATCTTTGGGGGCTGCTCAGGACTCATGGCATGTCTTGATCCGACAGGACACAGCGAAGATATAGCATTGTTTAGATTCCGTTTAAAAAACATCCTTAAAATGGCATTATCCTTAATGTCCTTGCATCCGAATGGATTGGGGACATTGTCCCGACTACGAGGACGTTCGGCATGTCCCGATCCGACAGGATACACAGAAATTATAGTATTATATTGATTACATTTAAAAACATCCTTAAAATGGCATTATCCTTAATGTCCTTGCATCCGAAAGGATTTCAGGCGATCGGGGATATTGTCCCGACTAAGAGGACCCGTGTCATGTCCTGATCCGACAGGATACACAAAAGTTATAGCAATCTTTTGATTACGTTTAAAAACATCCTTAAAATTCCATTATCCTTAGTGTCCTTGCATCCGAGAGGATGGAAAATCATCCGGGGCACTATCCCGATCACGGGTAGCCATGGCATGTCCTGATCGTCCTTCAAATAAAGGATAAATCAATAAAACAAATCTGTCCTGTTGTTGTTGTCAATTTATCTTTATATTGTTGTACAACAACTTCATTTGCACAGGCGCCGCGATACTGACGGCCACTGCTGAAACTAGAATAACATAGTTCGAAAATTGACCGCTCAGAGTTGGGGCGCCACTGTGTAGAAAAAAACTCGTTTGAAAATGCTACACTCAATGTAAATTTTCAGACCGAGTACCAGGCCAACAGAAATCAGCAGAAAGTAGCTGGTTTTTATATTTTTCACTGTGTCAAAAGCTGGTTGCTATGAAACCGAATTTATTTTTCTCAAAACCAAAGTAACTAAAAGTATGCACCAGTATTTTATGTGTGCAATTTCTATATTTATTTTTTAAAAATCGTGTGGCATACTTTTAGTTAATTTTTTGAAACGCTGGGATACTAAAAGTATGCAATACTATTTCAAGTGTGAACTATCCTAATATTTTGGGCAAACATATTGTTGCATACTCTTAGTTACTTCCCAACCGAAAATAATAATAAATCCTAAGAATTCTCAGCAATGCTTCCTCAGCCTCCTGTGATCGGAAGAACATTCCTGGAAGAGCCACTATCCTTATCAAATCCAGCCCCAGCCCAAAAAATACATAATTAAAAATACATAATCAATTTTATTCATAACAAAAAATCCAATTTATTTTATAACTACACACTATAAGAGTAAAATTTTTAAATTTTAAATATACCAAAAATAATATACATAATACACACTTACATAAATTCAGAGACATTCAGTGCCACTCACAGCGAGGCGCGTGCATGCCGCTGCAGTAATCATTTGGCCAATTATCGTGAATCGGTTAATCGATTTGTGGAAGGGGGAACACAACATAACAAACAATTTTGTGTGTTGGTTTTTTTTAAACATGAAATCTTCAATGAAATGAGCACTGTAGACCTTTGAGGATGCGTCTGCGCCGCCGTTCGTGGCAACGTAAAATGCGGCGCGCCATTGAGCAGCTGAGGATGCAGTCCCGCCACAAGCTGTCGCATTTGCTGTCGGGTAAGAACTCATTTGTGGATACTTTTTGCAACTATCTTGAATAATTGTGTGTTCTACTCACCCTTCAGTGCTTGGGGGGCTGTGCCTGTTGTTGTGGCTGGCTGGCGGTCTGATGTCTGCATCCGAGGACATCGACATAAGCGACAGCATCACCCCCTGCACGCCAATCGACGTAGTCTACACTTGGGTGAACGGCTCGGATCCGAATTTCATCGAGGCCATCAAGCAGTATGACCCGAACTATGATCCCTCTCGATTTGACGATAAGAATGAGCTGCGGTACTCTCTGCGCTCGCTGGAGAAGCACGCCAGCTGGATCCGCCACGTGTACATTGTGACCAATGGCCAGATACCCAACTGGCTGGATCTCAGCTACGAGCGCGTCACAGTGGTGCCCCACGAGGTGCTGGCCCCCGATCCGACGCAGCTGCCGACGTTCTCCAGCGCGGCCATTGAGACATTCCTGCATCGCATTCCAACGCTCTCGAAGAGATTTCTGTACTTAAACGACGACATATTCCTGGGTGCACCGCTCTTTCCAGAGGATCTGTACACGGAGGCGGAGGGTGTGCGCGTCTATCAGGCCTGGATGGTGCCCGACTGCGCCTTGGACTGCCCCTGGACGTACATAGGAGATGGCGCCTGTGACCGGCATTGCAACATCGATGCGTGTCAGTTCGATGGCGGCGACTGCAGCGATACGGAGCAGCCAGATGCCTCACACGTCGTCATGCACAGCCAGGAGACGCACGAGGAGGAAGCAGCGCCACCACCCACAATGCACAAATTCCCACAAATGGGCCTGCAGAAACTAATCAAACAGAGTTCCTCGAACTTCAAGGATGTCATGCGTCACCGCAACGTCTCGACGCTCCTCGAGCTGCGACGCATTGTGGAGCGCTTCAACAAGGACAAGCTAATGTCACTCAATGCCGAGATGGAGGACGGCAGCACAGCGCTGCCAACGAGCCAGAGGAATGTGCTGCACAAGGAGGACTTCAAATCCTCCACTGACATATATTCGCACTCGCTGATTGTCACAAATATGCTGCTGAATCGGGCCTATGGCTTCAAGGCACGCCATGTGCTGGCTCACGTGGGCTTCCTGCTGGACCGCGACATTGTGGGAGCTATGCAGCAGCGCTTTCCGGAGCAGGTGCTGGCTACGGCACATCAGCGCTTCCGCACGGCCACCGATCTGCAGTACGCCTTCGCCTATTACTCCTTTCTCATGAGCGAAACGCAGCTGCTGAGCGTGGAGGAGATCTTTGATGAGTTCGACACGGATGCCTCTGGCACCTGGTCGGACCGCGAGGTGCGCACATTCCTCACCCGCATGTATGCCCCGCCGCTGGACTGGTCTGCGATGCATTACTTCGAAGAAGTTGTTCAGAATTGCACACGCGCCTTGGGCCTGTTCGTCACGCCCGATCCCGTGGTGCACTCCACGTTGGTGTACGAACGCTACGAGGACTCCAATCTGGTAGGTGACTGACGAGACTCCAAGTTAGCCACTAACATGTTCCTTTTACAGCCAACAATAACGCGGGAACTGGTCGTAAGCTGTCCCCTGCTGGCAGAGGCTCTCATTTCCAACTTTGGGATGCGCTCCAGGTATCGCTACAACATCAGTCCCAAGCGCTCGCTGCACAGCAACTTTATGATGCTCACCTCGAATCTCACGGAGGTTGTGGAGTCCCTGGACAAGATGCGTCGAAATCCGCGCAAGTTCAATTGCATCAACGACAATCTGGATGCCAGGCGGCCGGAGGACAACGATCTGGTGCGCCATCTGCTCGAGGACTTTTATCTCTCCTTCTTCCCGCGTCGCAGCAAGTTCGAGTTACCGCCGCAGTTCCGCAATCGCTACGAATCCTGGCGTGACTATCAGAGGTGGCGTCGTCGCAAACGCGCCGTTCTCGTCGTGGGCTACGGAGTCAGCCTGCTGCTGATCATATTCCTGCTGCGTTTTATGTGTCTGCACAAGGCCAAGTTTGTGAGGCGTTGTGTGCAGCGACTTTAGACTGTGGTGTGGGGTGGAGTGTTCTCTTTTGTAATGTGATAAGTTGTAACCTTTGAGATGTTGGCCATTTCTGCATGCAATCATAGTCAAATTTAGTTGTAGGTCAAGCCAAGTGCAAGGCTATTTTTTCTAGTTGTTTAAGCGCAAAATGGAGGCTTACCGATGAGGCTAGTAAACTGGCAATGAAAGTGTTCTCAAGCAGTCGAAAATAAAGGCTAAATATTAAATACTTTAATTCCAAAAGAAAGAAGTCTTCTTCCGCGCTTTAATCTCTATCGATAGCTCTGGTTTCAATCGATCGATAGGAAAAGCGAAGCACAACAAGAGCTTGCTGCTACGACACATCATTTGCTGCTGTTATAATTCGAGCGTGGATTAAATTAGTTTTTTAATGTTTATTGCTTTGGCTGCTGTCCAGTTGCCCAGATTGCTGCCAGCACTTAGCCAGCCAGCCCTCCTCCCCTGGCGCGTCGATGATTACCGCAAAATTTGAGCTCCCGCTGAGCACTGGGCGTTGCCAAACAATTCAGTTGTGGCGCACACAAACACACAAACTACGTCATCACTTTTTTTGCTGGTGCCCACTCGGTGGGTGGTTTGTAATTATGGACATGCGCCACCCACACCGTGGCATTGCGGCACATTAAGCGCTGCCTCCCGTTTGGAAATTATAGCAACAAAAAACGGAGACGAGACTAGCCGCAGCAAGTTGGCACTTGCGGGCACGGAAGTCTGTGGGCGGAACTAGAGCGAGTCCAGACAGACAGACACGGGTCGCTATTGTGTGTGTGTGTGTGTGTGTATGTGAGTGGGCGTTGCCAAGAAGCAAACTCCCCAGTGCCAGTGTCCTGTGTCCATATGATGATGATTTGCTTTTTGTGCATCGAACATCTTCTTTTTTTATTATTATTTTGCTTTTATTTTGCCAACTCACCAAATCACATGTGGCCGGGTAGCTGTGGGTGTGGCCTCCCATTCCCATTCCATTCCGGATGCTGTGGCATAAATTGCGTCCGCCGTTTTTTATTCCCGAGGCTTGCGAGTGGATTACTCTGCCATGAAGTGGCACTGCGGGATGTCCCCCCCTTTGCACTGTGACTCTCTATCTTTCTCTGGACATGAATATCAATAATCCAAAAAACGGCAGCTCGAATCTTATCAATTATCTGCTCATCCATATCTCCATCTCCACACGTGTGTCCTTTTGCGCTCAGGCAAATTCAAACTGTGTAAACGTGCCGTAGACCCTGCCCTGCCGTTCCACTGGCCTCGTAACTCATTCTAAACGATCTCTAGTTGGGCCACCCAGGTATTCCGATTCGAAGACGAACGTGCACACGCCACAATTTAGTATATTATGTGACCTGTGTGGAGGGGATCTCGGATCTCTGTTCAGATCCCTCTTTATAGATCTCAGTGT